TTACCAGGTGCTGAAGAAAGGGATCAAGAAGCTCTATTTATATATAGGTTATGTTTATGATAGTTTTGAAGTGAAAATTACGGTCAATACTATCATAAACATAACCTATAATTTTTTTTGCTTCTTTAGACCATAAAGTACCTAAAAAAAAGAACAAATATATCAATTTTTTTCGTATCATAATTTTAATACTTTTTCATAAACTATATTATATATGTAATGTCAAATATAAAGTGTTTTGATTCTAAATAAAAATTTTCAAAAACAGATATACATTCTTTTTCTAAATAAGTCGTATATATATATATCTAAAAATAGAATAAAAATAATTATTAAATTCAATAAAATTTCATTATCGACCGAGTAATCGGTAATTCACTGTTTTGCGGGTATATTATACTTTTTTGAGGTTAGATTTCGTAAAAAGAACTTAATTTTTGAAACAAAATTGAAAAAAAAATACATTTTTTCCAGTTTTATTTTTCAAAAAAAAAAAAAATAAATAAATTTCAACTATGTTTGGTCAATTTTTTCTTTTGTTTTTTAAAAATTTTGGATAATTAGAGTGAGGAATTTTGGTTACTATAAATATAAGAGGAAAATTGCTTAATTTTTTTTTTTTTTTTTTTTTAACACAGAAATTCTGAGATCCGCATATTTCAGAACGCTTTTGCCTCTTACTTCTCATTTCGCTTTTAGTCCTTCTTCTACCTCCCCCTCATTCCCTTTGTCCAATGCGCCGAGTATATAACAATGGCCGCCCTCTAATTATCGAAAGACCGCGACACTTTAAGAGTTCCCAAGCCCATCTTGGGACTCCATTTCGTCGGTTGCTCTTTTCTTTTCTGAAACTCACTTCCTTTTACTACTATACATACATATATAGATATATATATATATATATATATATATATATATATATATATATATATATATATATATATATAGTATGTAAGTGTATAAAAATTTTTGATTTCTTAAAAAAATTGTCTATACTCAGAGAAAAGATTTCTTTGATTTAATTAAACGAATTTCATTGACTTTTGTTTTCTTTTATTTCAAAAAAAAAAAATTTCTTAGTTTCTTAATTTCTTTAATTCAAATAAATTTTCTTTGAATTAAAGAAATTTTTTGAATTAAATCAAAGAAACCATAGAAAAAAATTACACGTGTAATTTATACTTTGATATTTCTCGAATATTTTTCAAAAAATTACACACGTGTAATTTATACTCTAATATTTCTCGAATATTTTTTCAAAAAATTACACGTGTAATTTTTTTCTATTAGGGAACACTCTAACATTGATAGACAATTTATTTGAATTAAATAAAAAATTCCTTTAAAACGAAGATACACTGTTAAAAGAAGGTACTAAAAAAGTACCGATTTTAGGTATCAAAATAGAACCAAATAACAATTTAGTATACGTAAAGTTGGTATTAAATTAATACCTTTCGTTTTACAGTGTATAATTTCTTTTTAAATCAATAAAGATATTAACTTATATGAAAAAAAATACATTTTCTTTTGTACATGGAGAAAAATAGAAGAACGAATAAAGTAACTTTTACTATATATATACTTTTAAAACTAAAACTGGAACTGTCCGCAGTTTTTGTGTATTTCTGACAATTTTTAATTCAGAAATAGTAAAATTTACTATTTTCAGAATAATTTTTACTATTTCATGAGTAAATTTTACTATTTCTGGAGTAAAAATTTCCAGAAATGCGCAGAAACTACGGACAGTAATTCACTGCAAAAAGAAGTATCTTATTATAAGACAAATTGGAAGCAAGTTACCAAAAGTATCTTCCTATATCTATCTTATATCTTAAGAAACTAATGCATTTTAAGATGTTTTTGATAACTTAGAAACAAGTTGTAAAAAACATCTTAAAAAGGCGACCAAAACATCTTAAAATACACTAAAAAAAATTTTTCCGAAATCTTCAACTACCTTTGGGTATAGTTAACTGAAAAGAAGTTAAAACAATTACTTTCTTAGTTAGTTTAACAATGTTTATGTAGTTAATTTCATTATTTCTTAAGAAGTTAAAAATTAGTAGTACAATTAACTTAAAAATGTAATCAGAATTTAAAACTAACTACAAAATCTTATTATATCAACTACATTCTTAGTTATTTTAACTACTTTTTAGTAGTTATAATACAACTTTTAAAATTGAGTTGAGGATCTATTGTACTATACAGGGTAGTTAAAAAGTAGTCAAATCTACTACTTATTTTTTTGAGTGTATGATACTTCTTTTTGCAGTGTTTGGGTTTTACTTTTAAAGTATATATATATATAGTAAAAGTTACTTTATTCATTTTTCTTCGCCCTCACAACAAAAGGATATTCAGGATATCCTTGGGACGTCCTGGGGATATCGATTTGTTTTCGGCGGTTTGGATATCCCTGTGATATCTTAGAGATGTCCATGGATATCCAGAGGATATCTTAGGGATATCCGAATCGCCAAAAGCAAATGGATATCCCCAGGACGTCCCAGGGATATCCTGAATATCCTTGTGTTGTGAGGGCGTGTATCAAAGAAAAATTTTTCAAAAAAATTGATTTCTTTGAATCAAAGAAATCTTTTTTTTTTGGTGAAGTCTTTCCATATACTACACGCTAAAAAATTTATGAACAGTAACATAACAAAAGTACAATATTTATAGAATAAGGAAATCTATTTAATAGATTAATTATAACGTTTAACAATATCTAAAATATAGTCACTATTTTCATTTTCTTAAGGAAATTGAATATCTCCATGATAGTTAAAATAAATACTGTTTCAGAGATACTGTATTTATATTCTATTCATAATATATATTTAGTATAGTTATAATATCTCATAGAAAATTTTATTTTCTCTATTCTATAGCGAAAATGGATTATCGCTATAAGGCGATATTAACTATACTTATAACTATTCCAGAGATTATTTTCGCTAGTTTATAAAAAGTTTTTTTAGCGTGTATAATGATGAATAATTATAATTATTCTTACAAATTACAAATAATTTCACACTGCCTGCGACCTGGAAGGGTTAATAAAATAGATTTTTAAATAAATTTTCTTTTTTTTTGTCATTTAAATATAAATAAAATGTTGGGGAGCAAAAAAAAAAAAGAAAAAAAAAATTGAAAATTGTTACAAATTCAAGTCTTATTGAGACATTGAACGTCACCGGAGGTCGTTATATTATTCTTCCTCGTCAATTTTTATCGTTATTGTTCTGTGGCGGTATTACTCTTGACCGCGCGCAATCAAGTTCCAAATGTCCAATTTAACGATCCATAAATCGAAGCTTCTTTTTTCTTTTACAAACCGTTATATATATATATATATAGGAATTTCTTACTCCATGTTATACATTTATACGTGCGCTCTCTATAATATATATATATACAAAAAAAAGTCATTAAATTGTTTGATGCCACATATTTCCCACTTGGAAAGATTCCCCGGAAAGTGCCCCCTGGAGGTTCTATGAGAATTCCACCGGAACTTCCAACGTAATTCCGTCGGAATTCCATCGGAGTTCCAAAGAATTTCCGATGAGATTCCGACGGAATTCCGATAAATTTTTTTTCAAAATTTTTAGAGTCCTAATTCGGTCGGAATTCTGTCGGAATCTCATTGGAAATTCTTTGGAACTCCGCGGGAATTCCGACGGAATTCCGATCAATTTTTTTTCAAAATTGTTAAGAGTTCTAATTCCGTCGGAATTCCGTGAAAATCCCATCGGAAATTCTTTGGAACTCCGAAGGAATTCCGATCAATTTTTTTTCAAAATTGTTAGAGTCCTAATTCCGTCGGAATCCCATCGGAAATTCTTTGGAACTCCGACGGAATTACGTTGTTGGAAGTTCCGGCGGAATTCTGATAGAACTGCCAGGGGGCACTTTCCGGGGAATCTTATTTCCAAGTGGGTTTGGAAATTTGTTTGAATTACAAAAAAGGTTTTCTTTGATTTTACCAAAAAAAATCAATTTAAGAAGTGTTTTGAATTAAAGAAATTTTTATTTTGCTATATTTTTAATAAGAAGTAAAAATTTTTTTAAATTAAATAAATATTTTTTTTAAATCAAAAAAATATTTCTTTCAAAGTTAGAATATATAATATATAATTTTGAAATAAAATAAGTAAATTTTATTATTTAAAGAAATTCGTGTATTAAAATAAAAAATTTATTTCTTTGATTCAAATAAAAAAAAAATTTTTTAATGAAAAAAGTATTTCTTTGTTAAAAAAAATAGTTAAAGTTAAAAAAAAAATTTTAAAGTTAAAAAAAATAGAAGTAAAAGAAATAATTTATTTCTTTAAAATACAAAGAAATTTTTGCTTTAACCCCCATGACAATGCATGCAAATTTTTTTTTTTTATTGCAGAAATTTTTTTAAGAAAATTTCTTTGAAACAAAGAATCGCTTTTTTCTGTATGGCATTTTAATAAAATTATTAAATTAATAAGAAAAATTAAATAAAATTTAACAATCAGTAAAATATATAAATATTTATTTTTAAAAATATATGTTTTAAAAATATACACTACTTGATGGTATAGGAGGAAGCAAAATTAATTATATATACTACTTGAAATTCAATATCATGGATGGCGCCACTATTTGGGTTACTGTGGTCGATAAAGAAGAAATCATTAATTGAAAGGTAGTTTTCTGCTTTATAGAGTATATATATATATATATTTAAATAGAAAAAATTATAATTTTTATAAACATTTGTATTTTCTAAAATAAATAATATTTAGTAAATTAAATTATTTAATTTACTAACATCAACATCCTATTACCTAAGGACGAATAAAATCTGGATTTTTGGATAAAATTTTTGGCGGAACTTTTAAATTTGAAAATTATTTTTTTATTTCTACATATATTAGTCTTTATTTACATACAGATTTTTGTTAAATCTGCAAAATGTATAAATATAACAATTTTATGCACTTTCAAAATATTTTTTATTTATTTATTTTTGTTAACGTCTTATTGTAACATATTATTTTATTATTATTATTATTATTATTATTATTATTATTATTATTATTATATTATTTGTTATTAATTATTAATTATTATTATTTATTATTAATCATTATGATTTCTTAGTATTATAATTTTTTAAGTAATTTTACTCATTTGTATTTTATATTATACTAGGAACTGGCACAACTGGCACAATTGGTACAACTTGCACAACTGGAACAACTGGTACATATACTGGACTGTATACAATATCCTCACTGTTATCAAAATAGAAAATAAAAATTAAATTGACAAATTAATAATATGTATATTATATTAATTATTTTGAACTTAACAATTTTTGAATAACTTATTATTAGTACCTATATATATATATATATTATACACAAATTTAAAAAATTAATAAAATTTTAGGAAAATAAAATTAATTTCCGAAATTAAGTATTTCTCGTATAGTATATAATATTAAAATAAAAATTATATTATCTAAGTAATATTAATAAGTACCCTACTTATAAAATTATAATTTTTTTTTTTATAAAATTTGACTTGTCCATAAATAAAAAACAGAATAATTTTAATAATTGTAATAATAAAAAAATATTACGTACCTGAAATCAGAATCAGATTCAGATTCAGAATGCGTATGACAATTGCATAAAGAATGACAATTGCATGAAGAATGGCAATTGCATAAAGAATGGCAATCACATGGGTTGCAATCATGCACCACCTTAACGACTTCCAATTCTAAAGTCCCAAAAAAAAAATAAATAAAATATATATATGTAAAATAATTTTTTTTTTTATTATTATTTATTAACCCTTTCGTGCCCATGGGACATATATGTCCCACCTACAAAAACCTCCAGAACTCTAAACAGATTAAATATTTTTTATTCAAACTTGGTGCATTTTTTTCAGGAAGGATAGAGCTTTCAAAAAATGGAACTCACATTTTGTTTAAAAATTTATATTGTTCAGAAAAAAATATAAATAATTATGAAAAATGACGAATTTTTAAAACATTTTAGATTCGCTTGAAACTGGTTACTCGGGGGTTTTTGGGGTCGCTGAATACGAATCCGGTGTTAGTTTTTGAAAATTCAAAATGGCGGATCCAATATGGCGGACGAAAAAATTAAAATTGTTCGGATTTGCTTGAAAATGGTCACTCGGGGGTTTTCGGGGTCGCTGATTACGAATCCGATACTAGTTTTTCAAAATTCAAAATGGCGGATCCAATATGGCGGACGAAAAAATCAAAATTGTTCGGATTCGCTTGAAAATGGTCACTCGGGGGTTTTCAGGGTCGCTGATTACGAATCCGATATTAGTTTCTCAAAATTCGAAATGGCGGATCCAATATGGCGGACGAAAAATCAAAATTGTTCGGATTCGTTTGAAAATGGTCATTGGGGGGTTTTCGGGGTCGCTGATTACGAATTTGGTATTAGTTTTCAAAAATTGAGTCTTAAATCCAATGTTGCAGATCAATTTTTAATAATCGTTAACAATCGATTGAAACTAATTTAAATTAAACAAATTAAAATAAGTTAAAAGTATAACAGCAATAGAAGTTTATTTTTTTATGTCTGTAACGGCCTTCGACACCACCCTTGAGGTTCCGCAAGAAGTGCGTTGGATTTTTTTTGTTAATAACTTTTAAAAATACGTCCATCACATTGCATCCGTCATTTTGAAAAACTAATATCGGATTCGTAATCAGCGACCCCGAAAACCCCCGAGTAACCATTTTCATACGAATCCAAACAATTTTGATTTTTCATCCGCCATATTGGATCCGCCATTTTGAATTTTGAGAAACTAATACCAAATTCGTAATCAGCGACCCCGAAAACCCCCCAGTGACCATTTTCAAGCGAATCCGAACAATTTTAATTTTTTCGTCCGCCATATTGGATCCGCCATTTTGAATTTTGAGAAACTAATATCGGATTCGTAATCAGCGACCCCGAAAACCCCCGAGTGACCATTTTTAAGCGAATCCGAACAATTTTGATATTTCGTCCGCCATATTGGATCCGCCATTTTGAATTTTGAGAAACTAATATCGGATTCGTAATCAGCGACCCCGAAAACCCGCGTGTAACCATTTTCAAGCGAATCCAAACAATTTTGATTTTTCGTCCGCCATATTGGATCCGCCATTTTGAATTTTCAAAAACTATAATCGGATTCGTAATCAGCGACCCCGAAAACCCCCGAGTGACAATTTTCAAGCGAATCCGATCAATTTTTATTTTTTCGTCCGCCATATTGAATCTGCCATTTTGAATTTTCAAAAACTAACACCAGATTCGTAATCAGCGACCCCAAAAACTATAGGAACCACTTTAGTTTCGTTTTTTTATATGCTCCGTTTTGCCTGGGCACGAAGGGGTTAAATTATTTATTTTATATTTCATTATTTTATTAGTTCGTAAGAAAAATATATCTGGGGTCCTGAATTAATTAAAAAAAAAAATTTAATCCAAAATTAATATAAATAAATAAATATAAAAAATATATCTAAATATATAAATAAATAAATACCTGAACAACAAATTTCTCTTTTTTCTCTCTGTACATTTTTTGAATTCTGAAAAGAAGTGTTTAATAATTAAAAAATAGCAGATATTTTTTATTCTACATTATTATATTTGACAAAAAAAAAAAAAAAAAAAAAAATTATACTAATTATGTAAAAAATAATAATAATGATTCAATTTTTCTTAGACAGACGATTTGATTGCAAATTATTGCACAAAATACACCTAAAAGTGTTTGAAAACAATTGATAACCGATAAAAATATCATTTTTATCGTTTTTTGCAATTTAAAAAGCTTTAAACTGCCCAAATTGTCAATTTTGACCCCATATCCTTCATCAGCTATTACTTATTTTTATTAATATATATAATTATAATAGAAAAACGTGAATTTTTATAAATTAATAAAATAAAAATTCACTGAACTTACATTATGATATTGTTCTTCAAGAGGAAATCCTCGAAGATTTGAAAAAGTTAAAAAGAGAAGAAACACAACGAATAACATGATTTTTTTGATTTTTAAAAAATTGAAAAATAAAAATTTAGAAATTTACTTTAATAACTTCAAATTTAAATGATCTGTAAAAACTATTTTTTCATTTCATACATTTGCTTTTATACTTTTTAAACCAAAAGTAATCTTTAAGATAAACGTGATTTTTTACAGAAATTACTTTATTATAAATTAAAAAAAGGTAAAAAAAAATTGTACATATATTTAAAAAAAAAAAAAAATATTTACATAATTGACACATTATTCATGTTTATAAAATAAAATTTCTTAATAATGTTAAACAAATATAATCAATGACACGAAATAATTGATAACACGCATTAATTGCACTTAATCAATTCTCAAAAATTTCTTTTATTATACTTTTATTAATTTAATTCTTTGTGTGTGACAATTTTTAAACGAAAAATTAATTTTTTAATTATTTAAATGTAAACACTTTAAGTTAAACAGAATAAAAATTTGCTGAATAAAGATTAATTTATCTAGAAAAAAATGCATACTTTTTTTTTTAATAAGAAAAAAAAATGAAAAGAAAACGCAAATTAATATTAAAAAACAATTTTTTGTTTTTTTTTTCTGCGAGGTCAGAATAAATTGATTAATATTATTTTTTTTCCTAAAAATATTTATTCTTTCAAATAAATGAAAATTTATAAATATATATATATTATACAATATTTAAAATTCAAAATTATATAAAATATTAATATAATGTGATTTTTTTTTGTTTGCTTATTTATTTTTTATAAAAAAAAAAAAAAATTACAACATAGGCATTATGCCAATTGCTTTGCCATCACCTTCATCATTAAGTGTTAATCCCATTTCTTTGAGTGCTGCACTATCAACAACGCCAATTTTTGTACATTCTTGAATTAAATTTTGATTTGCTATATTTTTGTTGCATAAATTTTTTATTGCCAAAATTATCCATTGAATGATTACTAATGAAATATTCATGTTAAGGAAATTCTTTTTGATTTTCATAAATATATATTGAAATAATTCAAAACTAAAAAGAAAAATAAAAATATTAAGAATGTTCTTCAGTCATTTTTTTTTTCTTTTTTAAATCGCGATATTAAATTTTTTTTTTCTATTTTCAAAGAATTTTCCTTTTGTGTATAAAATACGAAAAATAATAATAATAATAATAATTTTCATTTTTTGTATGCCCGTTCATATGTATATAAATAAATAAAATAAATAATATTTACTAATAAATATGATTTTTATCAAAATAAAAATTAATATTTTTTAACGGAAAATATGTATTAAAAAAAAGTTTTTTTTAAGGATACAAGGATTTCTTGCGTCTATGTTGCAACAATCTAAAAGTAATGGAATTCCTTCCTCTTCTCTTACCTAAAAAAACAAAATTAATTAATTGTTTTATTTTAAATTCGATGTCCTTTTTGTGATAAATATTTTTTTTTTTTAAATAATTTTATTACTAAAGGACGTATTATTTAATAAAAATATAAGAAATCTAAAAACTAATTTTAAAGAATTAAAATTCTGAAAAATAAAATAATATTTAAAAAAAAAACAAACAACATTCAAATTAAAAAACATACCAAATTTTGATTATTTTCATTTTCAAAAACCAAATTTCCAATTAATCGTACAAGTCCAGCTTTAAATCCATAAGCAGGATGTGTTTGAAAATTTTGATTTTCACTTTTATCTGAATTTTCATTTTTCAAATCGCTCGTTCCCTGATTATTTGTAATTGCAATTTCACTTAATTTTTGTAGAGGTGTAAAAAAATTATTCGATTCCCTTCCCACCATATGAATTGATTTTAGTAAATCTATAAATGAAAAATTGCAATTTTCAAAATTTTGAAAAACAAATTCAAAACAAAAATAGTTTTAAGAAAAAAAAAAAAATTATAAAAAAAATCAGAAAACGAATAAAAAATAATATTAATAATTGTGAATAAAAAAAAAAAAGAAAGCAAATACTAACAAAGAGCATTTATCAAAAGACTTTTGTCCTCTCGTAAAAAAATTGAATAATTTGAATTTGTTTTCGATGATAAAATTCCCAATATATTTAGAAGAATCATCACTTCCATTGGTTGCATTCCATCTAAATATGTATCGACAGTTTTAAGAATTAAATCACTTTTTCTTTTAAATTTTCCAGCAATTAATTTTGTCATATCAATGGAAATATTTTTATAAATTTCATTTAATAAATTCTCATTTATTATTTCCAATATAAATAATCTATCGTCAATTAATAAATTATCATAAATATTTTCTAAAAATTTGCCATTCTCAATAAAATAATTCAACATATATTGTGCAACATTAATTTCCAATTTTGTGGCGTTTATTAAATTTTTCATTAATTCATTTTTTTTAATATCAGAAATATAATTTTCTTCTTTATACATGACTGTATTGTAAATAAAATAACAAGCTGCTTTTGCTAGCGGCATATGTTCGTGACCAATCAGAAACCTTCAAAAAAAAAATTAGTATTATTATTATTATTATTAGATACTTTCAATTAATTATTTTTAATATAATAATTACAAATTTTTTAAATATAATTACATATTTATTGAAAATAAGTATTTATTTATTATAAATACTTATTATAAATAAATACGTAATTATATTGAAATTTTTTTTTTAATTATTATATTAAATATAAATAATTACAAAAATTATATTTTTTAATTATAATAAAAAAAAAATTCTACTTACAAAATTACATTTTTCAATTCTTCACTATCAAGATAAATTGGCGCTTCATTTAAATCGGGTGAATATTTATTTTTACATGCCGATGAAACAAAATTTGAAAGAAATTGCATACATTGCGTGAGAATATCTAATTCTTCATTTGTAAATTTTTTATCCTCTTTGGCAATTAATTGAAAAATTCTATCGACTGTCCATTTAATAATACCATCGTATGGAAAATGTGTTTCGAATGGATATGTTTTATCAATTTTCTCCAAATGCAAATCATCAGATAATAAATCATAGATTTCTGTATGATATTTAGAAATTTTTGTGTCTTCTATTAAATTATAGCTTTTGTATTTAAAATTTTCTAAACAACAATTTGTGAGACATTTCAAGAGGAGAATTTCCGTTTTTCTTGATAATTCAAAATTCAATGAATTTATCAATAATTTTGCTATTTTTCCCACTAATTTAATGTCGCTATTTTGTAAAAATAAATGCAATTAATAATTTTTTATTTATAATAATATTGTTTATTATAAATAATTATAATAATATAATAATTAAAATAATTTTAAATAATTTATTTTTTATTTTAAATAAATGTTTTTAAATATTTATTATAGGTATTTATTTATTTTATTTTAAATTTATAAAATAAATTTTATTTATTTATTATATTAAATATTTATTTTTTTATTTTAAATAAATAAATATATATATCTTTATTTACTCTCCCAGCAATTTAAATAAATAAATATGTTTATTATAAATAATTATAATAATATAATAATTAAAATAATTTTAAATAATTATTTATTAATAATTGTATATTTAGAATAAAAATAATAATTGGAATAACAATAGTAAAAATAATAATAATTAAAATTTTAACAATATTACAATGAGAAAAAAAATTTATTTGATTCAAATAATCGGTTACTTAAAAAATATTATCAAATAAATATTATACTTGAACCAAATAATTTTTATTTGAATTAAATTGTATTTGGAACAATAATATTTCTGTATTTGAAACAAATACTATTTAATTGACTCAAATAAAAATTATTTCGTTCAAATAAATATTTATTTCATTATATAATAAAGTAACTGAATATTTGAATAAAATAAATTTTTGTTTTTTTCAATGTAATATTAACGATTTTATTATTATAATTTTATTATAGAAATTATTATTAATAAATTATTTTAATATTGAAAATAATGTTATTACAAAATTGTTATTATTAAATTTTATTTTTAATAATGAAAATAATTTTATTAGAAAATTATTATTATTAAATATTTTTTTTTAATAATGAAAATAATTTTATTAAAAAATTATTACCTATTATTGAATATTTTTTTTTAATAAAGAAAATAATTTTATTGCAAAATTATTATTATTAAATATTTTTTTTTAATAATAAAAATAATTTTATTACAAAATTATTATTTTAAAATTTTTTTTTTAATACAATTAATAATAAAAATCATTTTATTAATAAAATTATTATTATTATTTTATGTAGCTGGTTTATAAAATAAAAATAATTAATAAAAAATTTTTTTAATAATTAACAATTAACATGATTAATAATTGTTAATCTTGCCTCAATGTTGGCATTAAATAAATAATAATAATAAATAGTAATAATAATAATAATAATAATAATATAAATAATATATTAAAATAAATATTATTTAAATTAAAAACATTTTTCCCTCTCTTTTTTTAAAAAAAATTTTCCGTTAATTTAAAATAAAAATACATTAAAAATAATTAATACGCTAAAGGGTGTAAATTATTTTTTCTTGTATTTAAAATCTAAAATTATTATATATTATTAAAATTAAAAAAAAAAAAATATTTTTGTCCATTTTAGAAATTTTGTTTTTTGTAAAAATTGCATTTTTTTTTAAATCCATACGATTGATTGTTCAAAATCATGAAAAAAGGTTATAAAAAAATCGTCGATAAAAAATAATCAAAATTGTGAGAGAAGTTTAAATTTTTAATTATTCGAGAATTTTTACTCTTATTTAAAAAAATATTAACAAATAATTGTTTTTTTTTTTTTTAATTTTTCATAATATTATAGTTTTAAATATACTAAATATATATTGTCGGGGAAAAAAAAAATTGACAACCATAAACAAAATTAATTTCGATTGATTAAAATTTCACTGGTCTCCTTATCCCCTCCCCCACCCCCCACTTATATAATATTGAATTTTTTATTAAAATTGTTTATAATTACATATTTTTGTTTAGATGAAAATATTTTGGCATTAAAAATTCTGGCAATGTACTCCAATCATTTGTTTTTTCACACAAACATAACCTCAAATAAACATCTCTCATTGAAATTGACATATTTACTGCGTGACTTATTTACATTTACATATATCAAAAATTAATATAAATTATCGTTAATTATTCTTTTATGGACATTTAATTTAATAATTAACAGTTTTCTTTATTATATTTTATTAATTGTTGATAGCAAATAAAGAAGCAAATATAAAATTTTATTTTCACTTTTAGAACAATTGGTAAACCTGGTATTATTTTTTTTTCGTACGTTGGTAGCACTTGACGCATATATGAAAGCCGGGTATTTGATAATAAAAGAGAAATTTTTAATATTTGTAATTGTAATATATTTTTTTTTTGCAAAAATTTAATTGTTTATTAATATTGTCCGAATTTATCAAGATGTATTTTTTTAATTTTAAAAATTGACACTAAAATGTATTAAAAGTATTAAAATTTCGCGTCTCTGTTTGATTGGCTAAGGTATTGATGTATCTGCAGCCAACTTCAAACTCTATGCAAGAATTTTCATTTCATTTACATATTTAATCTTGTTTCTGTTTCAACTTGATTTAATATTTATTCTGTAAAATTCTTAAATTTTCAAAAATAATTTATTTATTTATTACTGTATTATATTATTGTTTACTATATTTATTAATAATTTTATTACTATTGATTTCAAAATGGCGCGCAATCGAAAGAGAGAGAGAGAGAGAAACATCGCGATACATATCGAAAACGACAAGAATCGATATTTGCGATTAGCTTGTGCGGCCGTGACTAGCGTTTGTGACACACAAGTTTGTCTTTAAAATACCCAAGTTTCTTTCGTTTAATTAGTTTATAATACAGTTTAATTGAGAAAAATCATTAAAGGTAAGTTTTATTTCTTTTCGCTATTAAAAATTATTGATTTTTGAAATTTAAAATTATCGTTTTATACATTTTTTATTACAAATTTTCATGAATATTTTGCCTTGTCATTGTCAGCAGCAAAATTTGTTTTCTTTATTTATTTTTCATTTTATTTTCAAAGTAAAATTGTCATTTTTTTTTTCATTGTCAAACTAAATAATTGTTTGTTATATTCTATAGAAAAAAAGAATTCATTATTCTGTTGATATAAAAATATCCATGTTAATTGTTTGTTTGACGTGCATAAGAATCTTAATGTTCCTAACCTATAAATGTGTTCGAAGCAAAAAATTTTCTCTTTTACTTTATAAAAAAAATTGTTATAAGTTTAAAATATTTACTTATTTTTCATTGTTGTTTTCTTTTCTATTAAATTTCGAAATTATTTAAATTAATTTCTGATAATGATTTATTAATAAACGTTTTTTTTTTCTTTCTATGAAAGACAAAACTTCGAAAATTTTTTCTCGTTCAAATAGAATTTAAAATAAAAATATTTATTTACACTTGAAAAAAAATTTTACATCTTTTAACAAATAATTTCACTGCTCAAAACAAAAAATAATCTTTTGTAACAAAATTTTTAGGTTAAATTTAGTAAAGTTTTTCCAAAAAAAAAAAAAGAAAAATTGTTTTAAAAGTAAAAATTAGAATTTAAAATTTAATTGTTAATTAAAATTATAATAATTAATTAAAATTAAAAATTAATTTACTGAAATTATTATTATTATTATTATTATTATTTATATTTTGCATAATTTTTTATTTAAAACGAAAATTATTAATTACTTTAGTAAAAATTTTAGAAAACAATAATTAATTTTGTTTCTTTAAATAAATTAAATTTGAATATTTTGATGTATATTAATTTGTACAAAAGAATTTTCTTTTTTTTCAATTGGATAGAATTTTGTACGAAAAAACTATAAAATAAAAATTGTTTCTTTAAATAAATTAAATTGAAACATTTTATTGTATTAACTAGCAAAATTAAACGCACGCAAGCGCGCCAAATTGAGTATTTAATTGTTTGTTATAAAGAAATTAAAGATTAATATTATCAATAATAATTTAATTTATTAGAATATTATTACATATTAAATAATAATAATAAAAATTATATGTTTACAGGCCTCGGATTATACGACGTTTTCCGACTTTTTTCAAAAATACGACTTTTGTCGACTTATTTTAATAAAATGCGACATTTTTTTTTACATTTGAAAAGAAAATGTAAATAAAATACATTTTTTTAATATAAAATGTACATCTTCTTCAGATCTATTTAATTCAATTATTTAACAAATTTTGAACTAAAATGATTCTTCACTAAATTAATTATTTTTAATAATTTTAATGAAATACATCACAAATTTAATTCTATCAAAATTATTTTTCAATTAAAATTTTTAAAAAATTTAACAATTGTTTATAATTTAAAAAAAAATATCACAATAAAATTGAATTATTTTTTAAAAATTTAAATTCAAAATAAACTAAAATTCAATTATTACCCGAAATTTTAATTCAAAATCAATTAAAAATCCAATAATTATCCAAAATTTTTAATTTAAAATTTAATTATTTACCAAGTTTTCAATTTAAAATGAAATAAAATTTAATTATTTTCTAAAATTTCTATTCAAAATTAATTTTTTTAATTTTCAATCAAAAATGAACTTAAATTAAATTATTATCCAAAATTTCGATTAAAATTCAATTATTTCCCAAAATTTTTAATTCGAAATGAACTGAAATTCAATTATTTTCCAAATTTAAAATCAAATAAAATTTAATTATTCTCAAAAATTTGAATTCAAAATTTATTGAATTTTCAATAATTATCAAAAATTTTCAATTTAAAATTTAATTATTTACCAAGTTTTCAAGTTCATAGATAACTTGTAACATAATAGGAAAGTTTTTATTGCCATCAATTTAATTTGTTTGTTTCTTTTCTTATTATTTTGTATCCCATATATAGTCCAGTTAGGACGGCGGGAAGTTATTACTACTGTAATAATAAATCATAATAATAATAATAATAAAATGAAATAAAATTCAATTATTTTGTAAAATTTCTATTCAAAATTAATTATTTAAATTTTCAATCAAAAATGAACTTAAATTAAATTATTATCCAAAATTTCAATTAAAATTCAATTATTTCACAAAATTTTCAATTCAAAATGAACTGAAAGTCAATTATTTTCAAAATTTAAAATCAAAATTAAATTTCATTATTCTCAAATATTTGAATTCAAAATTAATTGAATTTTCAATAATTTGAATTTAAAAGCATCTAAAATTTAATTATTTCTAAAATTTTCCATCAAAATTTTTTTTTTTTTTGAAATTTAATAATTTCAATTATAACTCTAAGGAAATTCAATTATTTTTAACTATTTTAATAATATTCTTTGAAAATTCAACTATCTGAAACTATTTTTCAATTAAAAATGATTTTCAAATTATTGTATTTTGTCCGCATTTTCTAATAAATTTTTAGTGAAATCATCTAAAATTTTAATTAAAAAACACTTAAAGTTTCAATTAATTTCAAAAATCTCAATTTTAAATCATTGAAAATTCAATTAAATTTAAAAAATGTTTACCAAAAATTGTTTGATAAATTATTGTTAGTTCTGTAAAATTTAATAATTGTTTGAAAATTAACAATATATTTTTTGAAATTTAATTATTTCTAAAAATTTTAACTTTAACCCTTCGTAAAGGATTATTATTAAAAAAAAAAAAATTTCCCTCTCTTTTTTTTAAATTTTCCGTTAATTTAATATAAAAATAGTTTAAAAATAATTAATACGCTAAAGGGTGTAAATTATTTTTTCTTGTATTTAGAATCTAAAATTATTATATATTATTAAAAATTAAAAAAGAAATATATTTTTGTTCTGAAGAGGAAATCGTACAGATTTCGAAACGTTGGAGAAATATATTTATAACATTTGGTCCGAATGTCTTCGTTTATTTTATTTATCTTACTTAATACTACTCGGACGTAAAAGATTATTCATATTTTTGTCCATTTTGGTTTGTTTTTTTGTAAAAATTGCATTTTTTTTTAAATCCATACGATTGATTGTTCAAAATCATGAAAAAAGGTTATAAAAAAAATCGTCGATGAAAAATAATCAAAATTGTGAGAGAAGTTTAAATTTTTAATTATTCGAGAATTTTTACTTTTATTTGAAAAAATATTAACAAATAATTGTTTTTTTTTTTTTTTTAAATTTTTCATATATTATAATTTTAAATACTAAATATATTGTCGGGGGAAAAAAAATTGATTATTATTAAGAAAAAAATTTTTTATTTAAAAATCTGTAAAATATTTTTGTTAAAATAAAAAATAAATCCACTTTTTTTTTGGAATATAAATTGACTGAAACGACTTTTTGTGTCTTTAAGTTGATTCGAGGCCTGTTTTTTTTTATAATTAATATTTAATAGGTATTCATTGGCCCCCCTGGTACCTTAAAAATTAATTTTTAAAAATAAATTTTTTTCAAATTACTATCTTGTACGAAATTTCCTTGCGCATCTTTTTTCTCATCATAAATTTTTTATATTTGTATACAATTTTTGAATCAATATACAACTTTAAAAAAAATTTCGTTGGTAAACGTTGTGTACTTCAGCTTTGTGAATTGAATTTTCGAATTTGGAATTTTAAAGAAACTTATTCCGAAATTTGGAAACACAATTATACAACTTTGGCATAAATGAGAAAAAGAATTAAAGAATTTTTTTAAATTGAATAGAATTTTACAAAAAAAAAAAAAAAACAAGGAATTAATTTTATTTCTTTAAATAAATTAAATTAGAACATTTTGATATAGTAATTTGTAGTGAAAAGTATTTTTTTTTAATTGGTTAGAATTTTACATAAAAAAAAAATTAATTTTGTTTCTTTAAGTAAATTAAGTTGAAACATTTTGATTAATTAATTTTTGCACTAAAAAATATTTTTTTTATTATTTACCATTTAAGAGAACATTTTTTTTTTTTTTTTTTTTCATCAAAATAAATAAAAAATTTTGTTTCTTTTTTCAGATGTTTCTAACGCGCTCAGAATATGATCGTGGGGTTAATACATTTTCCCCAGAGGGACGACTATTTCAAGTTGAATATGCAATTGAAGCAATAAAATTGGGTTCAACGGCAATTGGTATATCAACATCGGAAGGTGTAATATTGGCTGTTGAAAAACGTACATCATCAGTTTTAATGGAACCAACGACTGTTGAAAAAATTGTCGAAGTCGATAAACATATTGGCTGTGCTGTTTCTGGTTTAATGGCCGATTCACGAACAATGGTTGATCGCGCACGTGTTGAATGTCAAAATCATTGGTTTATTTATAATGAAAAAATGACCGTTGAATCGGCAGCGCAAGCTGTTTCAAATTTGGCAATTCAATTTGGCGACAGTGATGACGATGGTAGTGCAATGTCACGTCCATTTGGTGTGGCAATTTTATTTGCTGGAATTGATGAGAAGGGACCACAATTATTTCACATGGATCCGTCAGGTACATTTGTTCAATTTGATGCAAAAGCCATTGGTTCGGGAAGTGAAGGCGCACAACAATCATTGCAAGAAGTCTATCACAAGGTTCGAATAAAAAACAAATTAATTTCTTTTAAATAGAAAAATTTAATATAAAAAATATTTCTTTAAATACTATTGTTGGAGTTGCAGGTGATAATTCATCGATTATGGTTATGGAAGTAAAAATTCATTTTTCTTCAAAAATTAAAAACAGATGTCCCAAATGCAATTTTAATGAATTGTATTTGTGATTTGTAAAATTTAATTGCGAAAAGCAATTACAAAAAATAACACGTTTTTGCAATGATTTATTTTTTTTTATTTTTCTCTGAGTGCAAAACGTGTTGTTCATCTTAACTGAAATTCAATAATTTTATTCTGGTGATTCAAATAAAATTTAAAAATTTGCTACAACAAAATAGTTATCTCATCAGCATTGTATTGAAAGAATATTAAAATATTGATCAGCAAAAGATGATTTGCTGTGAAATTTAATTTTTTTGCGTCCTGAGATTGCAATGGATACTCATACTAGAGAAAAAAATTCCTAATTTATCAAAAGTAGCTTCTTAATTATTTAAAAATTGCATGGAAAAAAAAATCTTTATCTGGAATAACGATATGTTTCGCTAGAATAGTAAAAAAAACTTTCGCTGTTTTAGTGAAACATCTCAGTGAAACTTATAGCTATTCCAAATAAAGATAAAATAATTTATATCAAATAATTATTATTTGAGTCAATTAAAAGGTATTTTTTTCAAATTACATATAATAATCGTGAATATCTTTCGTTCATTCTGTCCACACCTAAAGTTAGTATTTGTTATAGGTCTTTTGTTTTTTTTAAATGTGTTGTTTGACATTATTTTGTGTTGGTTAAAATTTTTCAATGTTTTGACATTGTCATTTGTGCGGTCGTATTTTAATTATTAAAAATTATAAAATTGTTAGAATTGTGCAAAAAAATTATGAGGATTGTGAGAAAAATTGATTCGATTGCTGTTAGAGTAAGCTGCATAAGTTGATAATTTTATCAAATTTCAAAAATTTATTTAATTAAATCACGATAATTTAATTAATTTTAAAAATAATAAAAAAAATTTTATATTATTTATTTATTTATATTATATATTACAAATTAAATTTTTTTTTATTTTCACAAAATATTTATTTATTTTTGTTATTATAATTAAAAAAATTTATATTATATATATATATTAATGTTATATACATATAAATTTTTAATTTTGACTAAATATTAATTTTTTTTAATAATTTTTATTTTTAAATATTAACTTAATATAAAATTTTTTAAAATAATTTTTATTTAAAATAAAATTTAAATTATTATATTTTATATATATTTATATATGTTACATTAATTAATTAATTAGGAATATTGAATAATATATATATATTAGATATTAAATTTAAATAATTTATAAATTATTTATTTATTAATTTAAATTTATTAATAATTATTATTATTATTTATTATTATATAATAATAAAAAATTTCATTTAATAACAAATATTTTTATTATTTTTTGGTTATAATTTTTTTTTTGCAAAATATTTTTTTTATTATAGGCAATTGAAAATTTATATATTTCATATAATAGATTAATAATAATAATTATTATTTATTATTATATAATAAAAAATAAAAAATTTTATTTAATGATAAATATTTTGATGATAAGAAATTTTTACAAGACCTTTACCGATATATGTTATATTAAAAATTATCAATTTAAATTTTAAATCGAAAATTTTCTTAAAGAATTTCTGAAAAATTATCGACAGATAATCAAAAAAAGAAATCAATAAATATTTTTTTTATTTGATAAAAATTAAGGAATTATTATTAACAATGTAATTATATTATAATAAATTAAAAATATTATTGATAATATTAATTTTAATTTCTTTATAATAAACAATGACATTCCTAATTTCGCGCGTTTAATTTTGCTAGTACAGAAATTATTAGTTTAAATAAAGTTTATTTATTTCAAAAATATAAAAATTTTTTTGTTTCATGTAAATATTTATTTACTAATAGTAAAGTAATTATTTGAATCACAAATTTTTTTTCAGTGTAACTTGCATTAATTAGTTACAATTATTTCTATTTAAAAAATATGTATATTTCTTAAAAAAAATATATATATAATTAATTTAAAAAAAAAATTTTTAGTAGAATTAAAAAATTTTTAATTTTTATTGCAGTCGATGACTTTGAAGGAGGCGGCAAAAGCAGCTCTCACGATATTAAAACAAGTGATGGAGGAAAAATTGAATGACACCAATATTGAAGTAATGTCAATGACGCCAGAAAAATTGTTTCACATGTACACGAGGGAAGAATTGCAAGAGGTGATTAAAGACATTGCATAAATTATTTTCACGTTGATTTTACGAAAAAAAAAAATTGTTTCGTCGAATTATTGTGAATGTTTTTTTTTTTTTACTTGTCTCTCACATTTTTGAAAGGCAAGATTTCGCGTTAATTTTACAATTTATATTCTTTCTTTAAAAATTAGGTTTTCTCAAAAGAAAAAAAAAAAAGAAGAAAAACACACACACACAAAAAAAAACATGAAATACAAAAAAAGGAAAAAGGAAACTTGATGAATTAATTTCCTTGTCCCTTTTTTCTTTAATCAACGATCCTCTATTCCAATCTTTTTTTTTTATTTCATTACTTTATTGTTCTTTTCTTGAAATCGTTTTGAATTTTTTTTTTCGAACACAATCAGTAGAAGAAGAAGTTTGTGAAAAATATCGGATTTAGCATAAAGAAATTAACAATATTTTTTCTCAATTATAGATAATAGAATGTGTGTCGTCGATAGGAGAAGATGAAACGAGATCACGTCAAAGTAGTTCCACACCTGTCCAAAAACCTTCCACATCCATTGAAAATCATTGAAGACATTTTGTTTCATAAAGCGAGGTTTCATTCTTATTTTTCTTCTAATCAGAATTTTTTTTTTTTTTTTTCTAATTTCAAATTTATTTTTCATTCTTCATTTAAAACTTTTCTAATTTCTTCATTAATATCATTTTTTATCATTCATATTGACAGGAGTAATTAATTAATCATTTATTAAGAGAGTAATTGTAATAAATTTCTATGTTTTTTTTTTTAGAAATTAGCGTTATATTTCCAAAAATTTTGGTTTATTTTGATTTTTCCTTTTTTTTAAATTTCAAATTATGATAATTGAAAAAATTATTTTCTCATTCATGGAAAATATTTATCTCAAAAGATTAAGTCCCTCTTTTTTTTAAAATGTAAATTAAAAAAAAAATGCAAAAAAAGTTAGTAATTTTTTAAAGTTAATTTTTTAAATTCAGTATTTAAATTGAATTTTGAATAACTGAGAATGGAAAAATTGGTAAGTATACATACACTAAATAAATAATCATAAATTTAAACCTATATCCAAAACTTCCTGTCTTTTCCGTTTTTTTTTAATTTTCCAATTCATGGAGAGGTAAACGATGAGTTGCAGTTAAAAAATTTATTGAAATTATTTTATAAGTTTTTTAAAGGCAACAGTATAATTGGTTGTACCTCACAAAAGAGGGCGTTGGCAGGGGCCCTCTTTTCCCCATCCTTAAAAAAAAAAAAATTTGATTTAAAAAAATTGCTTAATTAATCACAATTTTGTGAAACTAAATTTCTTTCCTTTTTTTTAATTTAAGCTGCAAATTCTAACTGTTAAAAAAGCAAAATAATTTTAACGATTTAAATAATAAAATTAAATTTTTTTAAATAAAAACGGATTTACGAGATATTGAAAATTTAAATGCTTCTTGTAAATCTAATTGTTTAAATTTAGAAATTCATCGGTTATGGTTGGCAGTAAAAATTCATTTTTTTTTTCAAAATTAAAAACAGATGTCCCAAATGTAATTTTAATGAATTTTACTTATTCTTTGTAACATTTAATTATGAAAAGCAATTACAAAAAATATCATGTTTTTGCACTGAATTATTATCAATGATTTATTTTTTTTTATTTTTCTCTGATTGCAAAACGTGTTGCTCATATGACTAAAATTCAAGAATTTTATTCTGCTGACCTCGACACCGTCCTTGGAAAATCTATTTTCACTTATTTTCAAATAAATCAAAATACTTTGCCATATGCTTTTAGAAAATCTTACATACTTTTTTTTTGTAAAATGTTTTTTCAATTTTAACCTGAAGAAGGGTTATTTTGCAATTTTATGCAATTTTTTACGAATTTTTGGATATATACCTTTAAAGTTACTCTATTTTTAAAAAGTTACTTATAAACAATTTTTTACCAATTTTTTATGGTTTTTTTTTATTATTTATTGTTGTTTTTTAAATTTTTAGTTAGGAACCTATAATATTGTGCCTAATTTTAAGTGTCATTGAAATCAATTGTTCTTAACTTAATAATTTTAACATTTCTTATTTTAAAACGAAAAATCTTCTATTATATTAAGTTAACAAATTTCCAAAAGCGACACCGACACCGTGACCTCGACACCGTTCTTGGAAAATCTATTTTCACTTATTTTCGAATAAATCAAAATACTTTGCCATATGCTTTTAGAAAATATAACATACTATTTTTTTGTAACATGTTTTTTTCTATTTTAACCCAAAAAAGGGTTATTTTGCAATTTTATGCAATTTTTTACGAATTTTTGGATATATACCTTTAAAATTACTCTATTTTTAAAAAGTTATTTATAAACAATTTTTTACCAATTTTTTATGGTTTTTTTAAATTATTTATTGTTGTTTTTTAAATTTTTAGTTAGGAACCTATAATATTGTGCCTAATTTTAAGTGTCATTGAAATCAATTATTGTTTTTAACTTATTAATTTTAACATTTCTTATTTTAAAACGAAACATCTTCTATTATATTAAGTTAACAAATTTCCAAAAGCGACACCGACACCGTATGTCCTCGACACCGTCCTTGGAAAATCTATTTTTTCACTTATTTTCAAATAAATCAAAATACTTTGCCATATGCTTTTAGAAAATCTTACATACTATTTTTTTGTAACATGTTTTTTCTATTTTAACCCGAAAAAGGGTTATTTTGCAATTTTATGCAATTTTTTACGAATTTTTGGATATATACCTTTAAAATTACTCTATTTTTAAAAAGTTACTTATAAACAATTTTTTACCAATTTTTTATGGTTTTTTAAAATTATTTATTGTTGTTTTTTAAATTTTTAGTTAGGAACCTATAATATTGTGCCTAATTTTAAGTGTCATTGAAATCAATTATTGTTTTTAACTTAATAATTTTAACATTTCTTATTTTAAAACGAAACATCTTCTATTATATTAAGTTAACAAATTTCCAAAAGCGACACCGACACCGTCCTTGGAAAATCTAGTTTGACTTATTTTCAAATAAATCAAAATACTTTGCCATATACTTTTAGAAAATCTTACATACTTTTTTTTGTAAAATGTTTTTTCAATTTTAACCTGATGAAGGGTTATTTTGCATTTTCATCCCAAAAAAGGGTTATTTTGCAATTTTATGCAATTTTTTTTTGAATTTTTGGATATATACCCACAGAAAAAACTTGGACTCATTTTTGTTGCAACTCATTTTCTTTTGGTTATCGAAATGAATATGGGACAAACTTCATGTTATTCAAAATGATATTGGCTGGAATTTCAGATTTCTAAGTTGGCATCATAAGCAGAGTAATTTTGTATTTCAATTATTGTTTCTAATATTTCAACAACACCAGAAAGATTATTTTGACCAGTACGAATATTTAGAAGTTTTTAAATAAAAATTATTTATTATTATTTACGTAGATAATAATTAATTTCATAAGTTTTTAAATTTACCGCTATTATTTAAGTTGGCAGTACCGTTCCTGTTGTCAAAACACATGTTTTCATTTTTCTAACCTAAAAACATATTTCCTTTATTATTTTATTACGCGATTACAAGCAATTTTTAATCAAATATATTAAGTCTAGCGTGTTATTTACTTCTTTGTAATTATTATATTTCATGTTTTTGTGCAAAATTATTCGTTATTTCACAATATTTTTCCATTTTTCTTTTTCTCAAAATGAAACTTGCCTGTTTCATTTTGATACTTTTACCTTAGAACTCGAAATGAAACAACCAGTTTCATTTTTGTTGCGAATCAAATTGAGTATAGAATCTATACTCAATTTGAATTCAGGTTTTTTCTGTGCCTTTAAAATCTCTTTACAAAGGTTTACTCTGGATAATAAAAATAAAAATCGATATTTTAAAAGGTTTTTCGATTTATTATGAATATTTTTCTCAAAAATTTGCAAAATCTCCATGTGTTTGTGGGGCAATTTACAGCAATTTAATATAATATAAGATAAAAAAAATATATTATAATATAATTAATATTGTTGTTATAATTATAATAAATTAAAACATTTAATATTTAACAATTGACATTTCATCCTTCAACGATACTGATCAAAATTAAGATAAATTTTATAAAATATTAATAATAGGGTAACTGCACCAGTGGTGGATCAGTTAAGCCCCTTAACTTTCTTATTTTGACTTTGAAGTTCTGTATAGGTTGTTTTTAGACAAATTCGAGGTTATTCTTTATAGTATTATGGACCAGATAGTTCCAATAGACATTTCCTTCAAGGTTAGACTTAATTTTGACACCTACGTTTACTTTAATGCTCCATCAAAGATAATTTGTCAATGATCCTATTCTGGATCACTGTTTGCACCAGTCATGGTTATAGATTGCTCCAGTGGTGGATCACTTAAAAAATCATACTAAAAAACATTGCATTTTTACATTAAGGGACTGAGACGTTTTGCAACTTTTATAAGGCTTTACGGACAGATTTTCAAATTCACTTTCCTATACATATCCCCTCCTCTTTCATTTCTATAGGTATAATGTGACTAAATATTAATTAATCATCTTTTTATTAGAATTTTTGGTAATAAATAAATAGAAACTCTTAAAGCTTCAGTTTCAATGATAAATAACATTTATTAATTCTGGGTATTTTAATTCAACAAAAATTTAACAATTTGAAATCAGGGGGTCGATTACGTAACTTTCCCACTTCCCACATCCCACATTTTACATCCCACATCTCACTTCCTACATTTTACATCCCACATCCCATTTCCCACATCTCACTTCCCACATTTTACATCCCACTTCCCACATCCCACATCTCACTTCCTACATTTTACATCCCACTTCTCAATTCCCACATCTCACTTCCCACATTTTACATACCACTTCCCACATCCAACATCTTGTGGGAAATGGGAGAGATGTGAGAAGTGGGATGTGAAATGTGGGAAGTGAGATGTGGAATGTGAAATATGGGAAGTGGGATGTGGTATGTGAAATATGGGAAGTGGGATATGAAATATGGGAAGTAAGAAGTGAGATGTGAAATATGGGAAGTGGGATATGAAATATGGGAAGTGAGATGTGAAATATGGGAAGTGGGATGTGGCATGTGGTATGTGAAATATGGGAAGTGGGAAGTGGATATGAAATATGGGAAGTAAGAAGTGAGATGTGAAATATGGGAAGTGGGAAGTGGATATGAAATATGGGAAGTAAG